TAATTAATGAAAGAAATTGAAAATGAAGCTTTCATTTCAAATCCTTTTTATCTGGTTGAAACTTTAATTTTACATAATGAAATTGACTTCACAGTTCAGTGTGTTAAAATATGCAATGAGGCAGCATATCAAGGTTAAATGCCTACACTTGTTGGCTCATTTAGAAATCATGCTGCTGAACTTCCTAACAAGAAGGAACACCTGCCTGCCTGCTAGTGTCCTCAGAGTCGGGCAACACATTGCCTACAGGGCTGGCTCCCCAAGTCCAGAGAAGGCAATTGAGTTTTCTTGCATGAGCCAACTCCAGTATCAAGTTCATGAGATATGTGAAGAGTTTTCATTGCTCCCTATATTGCATTGGGGTTTTATTTACTTATTTCTTGGCACTAAAAATATTCCTACACTTGATGAACTTCTATGGATAAATAAATTTGTCTTATGAAGCTCATGAATTTTAAGAGACACAACACTTTGTCTTCAAAGTTCTTGCCTTCTATTTGTTGAAAATATGGTAAAACACATTTATTTCAATCCTGCTATTTCACAGTTTAAGGAGCTCTAGTAGCATAGTGGCTATGAGTCGAACTGTTAACTTCAAGGTCGGCGGTTCAAATATACCTGTCATCCTGCAGGAGAAAGATGAGGCTTTCTGCTCCTGTAAAGACTTACAGCCTTGAAAACCCTATGCAGAGTTGCTATGAGTCGGAACCGACTCCGTGACACACCATCACCACCACCATTTCACAGTTAAATGCTCAGACCTTTCATATATTATCTTTGCATTCCTGTAACTGGAGAAGTGTTGTGGCGACTTTGAAGGGAAACACTGAAATGGGATTGCGGTGGATTCTTAAGGTAATTCACCTTAAGAGACAGTAGTTTTTAAAGACAGAGACTTTATGTGTTTCTCTTGTTTTCCCCTTGAAAAATGCTTCTGTAAAGAAGGCTGGTGGTGCAATAGTTAAGTGTTAAGCTTCTATGAAAAATGTTGACAATCTGAATGTACCACCTACTCAGCGGTGCAGTAGGATAAGCACTGGATTGTTAACAGTAAGGTCAGTAGTTCAAACCCACCAGCTGCTTCTCAGAAACCCTACATAGGCTGGCTGTGAGTTGGAACCAACTGACACCAAGAACAACCTTCTCAGTGGGAGAAAAGACATGATGATCACTCTAGGAAAGATCCTTCTTGTTGTTATGGTTCCCATTCATGTTGTTGTGTGCTGTCAAATCGGTTCCGTCTCATAGAAACCCTGGACAGGGTTTCAAAGGAGAGGCTAGTGAATTTGAACGTCCGACTTTGTTGTTCAAACCAATCTTGCAGTCCAGTGCTTACCCCACAGTGCTATCCCAGGACTCCCCTGTAAAGATTACAGTCCAGGAAACCTTGCGGGACAATTCATTCTTTCTTTCAGGGTCTCTGTGAATTAGAATCAACTCATTGGCACTGACAGCAGTGGCTTGTGATAGTTAATTTATCACAGTGAAAGGATAAACACAGGACTACAAACCACAAGGTCAATGGCTGGAGGCCACCAGTGACTCCACAGGAGAAAGATGATATGCTGTTGTTGTTCCATGCTGTTGAGTCTGTTATGACTCATAGCAACCCTGTACATCTTTGCGGGAGCAGAAAGCCTCATATTTCTCCCAACCGCCAATCTTGTGGTCCATAGTCCCATGCATTTCCTACTGAGTCACCACTCTCCTTAAGATGTGTCCATGTCTTCATCTTTTGAGTTAAAGTTTGAAGTTATGACACAATGGCACACAGGAGGTATCAGACCCTGGAGAAAGACATCATGCTTGGCAAAGTGGAGGTTCAGCGAAAATGAGGCAGACCCACAATGAGATGGACTCACTCAGGGACAGCAGCAGTTGACTCAAACATAATAACAATTATGAGGCTGGCAGAGAACCAGGCAATGTTTGGTTCTGTTGTGCACAGGGTTGCTATGAATTGAAACCAACAGGACAGCACCTAATAGCAACAGCATGGTTTACTCTTTGAGTCAAAACTTGAACTATGGCATTACCTCTTCCATGATGCCTTTTGGCATAAATTTGCCTTAAATTTGGTGAGCTAAATTTGATGCTACCAACCACCTTTCAGTTTGTCATACTGTAATGGCTTGCATGCTACCATAATGCTAGCAGCTACATCAGTGGTACTTCAATTAACAGTTGGGCACCCATTGTGGACAGGTTTCAGCAGAGTTTCCGGACTAGGACAGAAAAGGAAGGCCTGGTGCTCTACTGTCAAAAATTAGCAATTGAAAACCTCATGGACCACAATGGAATAGTGTCCCAATATAGTGGTGGAAACGAGCTCTTTATATACAACTGGAGTCCTGGTGTGGTGTTGCGGGCTAATGTGCTGGACTGCAAAGTTGGTTTGAATCACAAGGTCACTGGTTCAAGCTTACTAGCTATTCCTTGGAAACCCTATGCAGGGTAGCTATGGGTCAGAACCAACTCAATGGCACTTAACAATAATATATATACAATGGCCACAACAATGGACTTGAGCAGACCAACAACCATGGAGACAGTGTTATTGTTGGTGTTGTTAAGTGCTGTTGAATCACTTCTAACTCAGAGCGAGCCTGTATAGGGTTTCTGAGGAGTGGTTGTTGGATTTGAAATGCTGTCTTGTGGTCCTGTACTTATCCATAGGGTCACGCCGGGACTGTAGGACCAGGCGAAGTCTCCTTGTATTGAACATGGAGTCACTATGACTTGAGCCAGCTCAAAGGTGACTAATTTTAATAACTGATGTGCCCAGCTGCCTCACTGCTTTGCCCTAAGACCAAAAGGAGGCCTTGGCTATCAAAGGACATCTTGGTACTTTTATCAGGGAAAAAATTACAGTGAAATGAATGTTTTAATAAGTGACAAGTTATACAAGCTTATCCATGTGAGTTGTAAAAACACCATTCATATATGATCAGTTGATTTCATTATTATAAACTATTTTTATCTTTCCATTAAAGCAGATCTCTCTTTTCTTAGGTAACATGGAATGTGATATTTTGGTTATTACATGTATTTTAAAGCCACTAAATTACTGTTAGATGAAAATGTATTCATGCACAAACATACCTGCTCACTGATTGGTCTTCCCTCAAATAAAACAACTTTGCAAGTTTCAGTGTTGAACAAATGTTTAAATAATGCCAAACAATAAAAGCTACTTTGTGCAACAACTGTAAATCTTGTACCATTTCTCAGAAACATACAAGTTTAATGAAATTGTACCCAAGACCTAGACATTTTGGCCTGATTTGAGAGGCCCTATTGCATGAGTATCTGCAATGGCTCTAGAGTAGAGCTGCTGGCACTTCCTCCGAGTCACAGATTAAGGAATTTCAATGATGAAATAAAAGCACCGAAGAGCTGAAGTGCTTCATCAATATGACTTGATGCTCTGCCACTTATTGGATCTATTTGATTTTATGCTGATGCGCTGTTACTGATTTTAATTTTTCAGAAGATGAAAAAAAAAAAAAAAACTATGGCTATTTGCAAATGGAGAAGATGATGTACACAGATTATCTGTAAACTTTATACATTGTACTCTTTCAACCTTCTTTCTCACAAAACCTGTTACCAAGGAGTTTCCCATAAATCACTGGAAAATGATACTTTCTTTAATAAATACCTTGACAGAACAGATCAGACATCAACATTTAACTCACTAAATCAATCAGGAGAAAAGACCCATTTTGAAAATCGGTGAGCATTATTGTACAATCTTGGCTGTACTTTTCTGAAACATGAATTTAGAAAATTGTTGTCACTTGTATATAGGTATGTGTTAGAACTGCCCAAGTAAAAGTCTTACTGATTTCACTTTTTTCTCTCCTGAATTTTCTTCACCTTATTTGTGGTCAAAAGCTACTTGGAAAGTTCTGGTTCTCAATGCAACTTTGTATAGTAAATAAGCATTCACTGGTTCGTAGATGGTGATCATGGGAAACAAGCCAATTGGGTGTTCAATGAATTGGTTGGTGGTCCCAGAACATAGGACTATCTTCTTTATTTAATTCTTTTGGAAATGACCAATTTTTCTAATATCGTGCTATCCTTACCATTAATTGCAAAGTGCAGTTAACTGAGTGGAACCCTGTGTACATTCAACAAGGCACAAAGACAACATGCCAGAGTACTAAGATTATCTATGCAAATTAATGAGAGCTTTAAATTTGTAACAGGCTTTATAAACTAAGGTTTGATTACTATCTTCATATCATTCTAATCATCTAGAAAGGACAACTCTGATAGGAGCTGTTTTTGTCTTTGAGCACCATTCTCTACTGTGAAGAAGTTCTTTTTATGCTTAGGATATTTTTAATAGGACCAATTAAATGTGTACTTCTCTCTGTCTATACATTAGGAAGATAAAGGCCTCATGCACAACGGTTGCTCTCCTGGGCTTCTCAGTTCCACCTCTATAGTTCATAGCTTATAAGCATCATAAACATAAAAGTCAGTGAATTAAGTAACTAGAGAAATCTCTAACCAGACGATCTGGGGCCAGTATCACTACTTCTCTGACAGGATAATATGACTGAACAGTTTAATAATGGCATTTATAGATGATTCTATGAGGTTTCCTAGGCATTTATTTTAACCTGAAAGAAAGATGAATACATGGAAAGAAAGCACTCTCCATCCAACCAAAGAGATAAAAAATTGTTGTATCATGGTCATTAATTCTTCTATTTTTTTTCAAAGTGCTATTTTGCCATTAACTCTTGAGAGCAAACTGAAATCAGAGAAGAAACTGGAAACACAAAATGAAACAATCATAATGGACTCAGGGAGCCTCAGAAAGATCAAACATAAAAATACTGTATTCTGACTGTTTGAACGTCTTGAATTGAGGAAAGCAAACCCAAAGCACGGGGGAAGTGCTAACACTTGCTGGGGACATACAGAGAGTGCCATTATGTTTTGTACTTGGGCATCCAGGTAAGAGTTCCCTAAAGCAATCTTACCTTTGTTTTCTGCCTTCAATTCCTCGGCCATCAAGCTGTCTTGTCGGTTACCAAGCACAAATGCTAGAAATGAGAGGATCAGAGCATCCAAGATTCCGATGATTGCCAGAATGTACGCCCAGCGGACTGAACAAGCCCCAAGAGTGTACTTGTCCGTCTTTTCTCCACACATCCGTTTTACTTCATCCGAATCCCAGCCATCGGGGAAAATCATACAGCCAAGCACAAGGCAGGCGGCTTAGAGAGGAGGGGGAAAAAAAAAAAAAAGTTACTAGATAAATTTAATTTTAGCAGATTTTTGTGATTGTTCATCAAATCATTGTTTTGAATTGTTGATTTAAACGGCAGCAAATCTTGCCACTGTACTACCCTGTTTGCCTTTTTTCTTTCTTTTTTTTTTTTCCAGGCTAATTTAATAGTTACCCAGCACTCTGCAGAGAACAAACTCTAGAAATTCACATTTTGGTGAGCTAAAGCCTTATGAGAGAGGCTGAATATGGCAATCTATAAGAAAATATTTAAAAAGTCAAATTTCAGTGTGCATTTCTGGGGATACTTCTATTGCAAATAGGCTGTAAGGAATCATAATACTACAAAATGACAATCCATTGCCACCCTTTGAAGAACTATGGTGGAAGCCAAGATAAGGGATTTGGATAACATAGAAAATATCAGAGTATGTTTTCACTTTACTTATAGTAAAAATCATTTTACATTGTGGCTGCACATGTATACCATTAGAAAAGTTTCTTTAAACTCTAATTAGCCCTTCTTGTATGTAACATGCTCTGATATTCTGTTTTCTGTTCCATTTTTTAAAGGTCTGAAAAACAGTATAACACACTGTGGCACATAGAGTTTGTAATTAAAATTAAGAGATTAATTCAAGGATTATCTACATTCTATTCCCCAAATATCACTATTAGAAATCTATGAAAACTTTTTCTGTAAGTATGTTTTTCTGTAAGTAAGTACTCTGGAAATGAAAGAAAATATACGGTTATTGCTATCATTTTCATTATATTCAAGTGGACTATTTAGAGATAAGTAGTTCTATTTTCAGGCCTTATAAAGGTCTCTGAACTGTGGGTTCATTCACTCATTCAACAACTATTTAGATTGAGCAGCTCCCATGGAATATCAGGTCCTGTTCTTGGTGCTAGGGATACAGCCATTGGGGGCTCAGGATCGTTGTCTTCTTGTTGTTGTGAAGTGCTGTCAAGTTAATCCCGACCCATAGCAACCCTGTATAGGGTTTCTGAGGAGCAGCTGGTGAGCTTGAACAGCCGACGTTGCAGTTCAAATGACTTTAGCAGTCTGGTGCATTAACCCACAGACATAAGAAAACAGACATACATTGGGCTTGGGGGCTCAGGATCATTGTCTTAGAGGGTATCAATTGGCATAACATAGTTCACAAAGAAAATGTTGTGCATCATACTTTAATGAGAAGCAACTGGAGTTTTAAAAGCCCAAGAATGATTATCTGAAGTACAACTATTGGCCTTTCCTTGTCTAAGCAAGAAGAGTGAAGTAAATCAAAGAGTCATGGAAAAAATTAGCCCAAAGAACTAACAGACCATGTGAACCTTAGCTTCCTTTACTCTGAGACCAGAAAAACGAGATGGTGCTTGGCTACTACTGCTGACTGATCTGAAAGGGATCACAATAGAAAGTCCTGGATATAGTGGGAGAAAAATGTAGGAAAAATTCAAAACCATGAAGAAAAACACACCAGCCTTATTGGTCTGGTAGAGACTGGAGGAACCCTTGCGATTGTGGACTTTAGTCATCCTTCAAGCTGGGATTGAACTCTTCTCCATGACTCCACTTTCAGCTGAACAGCAGACAGGCCTATCAAGTGAATAATAACAATGGGGACGTATGCAACTGGAGCAGGATGTTTGTGGAATAGTGCCATCTACAATGACATCTCTTATCAAACACATTTTGTCTTGAGGATAGACTTTCTTAAAGGGTTCCATTTCTGGAAACTCTTGCTTTAGAAGTTGGGATAAAAAGAGCAGAGGCAAAATTAGTACTCTGAAGATAAAACCACAAGAATATGAGTTGCAACCCATTTTTCTCAAAGTATGTTGTTATTAAGTGCTGTGGAGTTGGGTTCAACTCATAGTGACCCAGTATAAAGTTTCCAAGGAGCAACTGGTGAGTTTGAATGGTTGAACTTGTGGTTCAAACTGATCTTGCAGTTCTGTGCTTATCTTACAGTGCCATACCAGGACTCCTCTCAAAGTATGTCGTTGTTGTTAAGTGCCGTCAAATTGGTTCCAACCCATAGCGACTCTATATAAGGTTTCCAAGGAGCAGCTGGTAGGTTTGAACCACTGACCTTGTGGTTCAAACTGACCTTGTGGTACAGCATATTAACCCACAGTGCCACACCAGGACTCTCAAACTATACTACTTCTTTAATTTTATGTGAAGAAATTGGAAAGACAGATGAGATTACATACAACTCATGTCTTTATAACTTCACTTCATGCATTATTTTGCTGAAAGTTAAAAAAACAAATGTCAAAATAGTTCTTATTTTCAATAATTTAAGAGAGTTTTCTGTTTTGAGAAATATGTGCTTGATAGGTAACTGAAAGGTTGGAAGTTCCAAGTTCATCCAGAGGTGTCTCGGAAGAAAGACCTAATGGCCAACTTCCAAAATATAAGCCATTGAAAACTCTATGGAGCATAATTCTACTCTGACACACATGGGGTCACTATGAATGGGGTCAGCTTGATGGCAACTGGTTGTAATAGGAGCAGCGTTTTGGTTTCTTGGGGAAATGTTTAGCTCCCTTCAGACCACAAGACCCGGTACCAGATTCTCCACCCCTTTCTTGTCTGCTTTCTCTGAATGTGAAAGATCAGATGCCTTCTAATTTGCCAGTTGTTGTTAAGTGCTGTTGAGTTGGTCTGACTCATAGCTGCCCTGTATGGAGTTTCCAAGTGAAATGATGACCTTGCATTTAGCAGTCCAGTTCTCATCCTACAGCATCACACCAGGACTAATTTACCAGAGTGGTTGTAAAGTAGAATTAAAATAAAAAATAGAAACTCAATTGCGTTTAAAAACGAAACTTTGTAAAGGAAAGCTGTGTTTAAACTCCATTAAAAAAAAAAATCAAATCAAATGCTATCCTTTTGAAAACTGTTCTTCTAGAAGGCCATTGAAGAACAAAAAATTTTAATTTTTGACAATAATATTACCAAAATATACATTTCATACTCCTATCCAAGCTTCTACTTAGGGATTTTATTTTGTTCTTGAAAGGCAGGTCCCACAAAGTTAAAGTGTACTTAATATAAGATTAATTTAAGTCATTAAAATAATTTTAGCTCTGTTGGCTTCTTTGGAAAGGCATGATGATTACATTTTGCACTAGTGCTTGAGTGCTGTAATAATAAATTGTTTCTCGGCACTTTATTAACCAAAATCTTATTAACCTGTATTATTTGTAGAGCCACTGAAAACTAACAGCTGTTTCTAATCCTAACTAAGAAGTACCTGTAACATCCTAGGCAAATGTCTTAGTCAAAGAAAGATAGAATAATACTCCTCTTGTCTTTATAACTAATTATTCCTAATTCTTTACAAATTGATCATCCTGTAAGATGCAGCTTCATCATCTACAGTAAACATTAGCATGTACAAGGTACCAGAACATTTGATTAATTTGAAAATGCCATTTCTTGACCATGAAGGTTAGTGGAGAATTAGTTCCTATTGGTCTATTAAACGAAAATAAGTTTCTTATTAGAATGTCACCTCGTAGCTATATATTCCTTCATTTAGACACCAGGTTTTCTGGAAGTATACCAGAGAACATTCTTGAATGATAAAAAGAAATAAGAACTCACAGGCTGAAGGTGAGTGGAAAAGAATGATGAAAAGAAACTCACATCCTTATCCTATGTCACCATGACAGTCTCATCTAGAATATGTAACACAGGTGTCCTTGTGAGGGTATGACTGTTGATTTCAATTTCAAGCATGTTCCAAATGGCTAAGAAGCTTTCACATTTTGAAATAAAGCTCTGTGTGGAGGCTATTGATGCTCACAATGGGTTCTTCTGAAATAGTACACAAATGGCTAGTGCTTCCCCAGTGCCACTAATTGCTCTGGCATTTTTCTTGCCAAGGAGCTGAATGTAACCTCTGTGAAGGAAATATCCTTGGAAAAACCCACAAACGCTTGTAATTGGGTCTTTCTCCAAAGGAAAATGAAACACGATGAAAAAACCAATAGGGGGTCTATGACTGGGGTTACTTGGTCCTGCTGATGTTGCTGGTCCAACTATCCTAATCAGGGCTTTTAACATTGTGAATGACTTATTTTTTGAACAGGAAGGGAGAATCTAAATTCATTCTTTAAAAACTCTATGCACTGTTGCACAAAAAGCATGATAAATTGCCTCAGGTTGCTGACGCACTCAAGGGGAACTTGGTGAAAAAAAGGACCCTGCATTCACTTAACTCTATCAATTATTCAAGCATACAGTAATTGAAGGAATTGATGCCAGAAGAGGCTGCCAAGCTAGAGAGGGGGAACTTTTCACACAAGGATTGCCACTCTAAACACCTGGGAAAAGAGATACGCAAATCACCCTATAGCTTCTTTAGCAGCACATGGCCAGCAAACTTAAGCTGTGATATGTATTTATGACTGCTGGGAAAGTCACTCTCTACACAACCTGGGACATGAATTACTATGGTTTAGAGTTTGGTGGCAAAACCACAAATTGTCTCCAGGTAAATTTCGGTTGTAAACCCAGAATAATTTATGTGATTTAAGTCAGGGTCATAATTTGAAGGGAGAAGAGAAAGCTCTCAAAAGAGGAGTTAGAAAGTTGTGTGTGATGATGAGAAACACTTTGACTCTTCCAAGATGCTTGTGGTTGTTAAGTGCTGTCTATTTGGTTCAGGCTCACAGGGTTTTTGAGGAGCAGCTGGTAGGTTTGAACCACCAATCTTTTGGTTCACAGTCTAGTGCTTATCCTACAACACCACACCAGGGCTCTGCAGGGATGCTTATTAGTCCTGGATAAAGGGATCTGAACATTTAGCATATTGTGCTGAATTAGCCCACATTAGCTGTCGGGGGGTAATCAGGAATCTGCACTTGGGTTTATGAGTTAAATGGTCAGGGAGACATCTTTTGTAGACTCTGATACTACACGAGTAAAATGTTGTTATTGTTGGGTGCTGTCAAGTAAATTCTGAC